GGCCACCTGTAGCCCTAGCTACTCAGGTGGCTGAGGTGGGAGGCTCACTTAAGCCCAGCAGGTTGGGACTGCAGTGAGCTGTGATCATGCCAGTGCACTCCAGCCTGGGCAACAGAGGGAGACCCTCTCTCCAAAAACAAAATATATATATATTGGAGTGGAGATAAGCAAAATAGAAAATAGAAAAACAATAGAGAACTAATAAAAATAAGATTTTTTTAAATATCCATATTTATAGTAGCATTATTCACAACACCTGAAAGATTAAAGCAACCTTAGTGTCTATTAATAGAAGAATGGATAAACAAGATGTGGTACATACACACAATAAAATATTAAACCCTGAAGACATTGTGCTAAGTGAAGTAAGCCAGGCACAAAAACAATTATTGTTTGATTTCACTTATGTAAGGCACCTAGAGTCATCAAATTCAGAGATGGAAAGTAGAATGGTGGTTGCCAGGATCTAGGAGGAGGAGGAAAAGAGGATTTAGTACTTAATGGGTACAGACTATCAGTTTTGTGAGATGAAAATTCTGGAGATGGACAGTGATGATGGTGGCACAACAATGTGAATATACTTAATGCCACAGAACTGTACATACAAAAGTGGTTAAAATGGCAAGTTTTATTTTTATTTAGTTTTTTTTGAGACGATGTTTCGCTCTTATTGCCCAGGCTGGAGTGCAATGGCATGATCTCAGCCCACTGCAACCTCCACCTCCCAGGTTCAAGCGATTCTTCTGCCTCAGCCTCCTGAGTAGCTTGGATTACAGGCATGCGGCACCACACCCGGCTAATTTTGTATTTTTAGTAGAGATGGGGTTTCTCCACATTGATCAGGCTGGTCCTGAACTCCAGACCCCAGGTGATCTACCTGCCTTGGCCTCCCAAAGTGCTGGTATTACAGGCATGAGCCACTGCACCTGGCCATGTTATATGTATTTTTTACAATAATGAAAAGAGAACCAAACGGTTGTTTGAAATAATCGCAAACCTTTACCTAGAGTGACCAGGAAAACAAGAGAGAAGACTAATATTACTTAAATTAAAAATGAAAGTGAGTACATTGGTACTGACTTTACAGGAATAAAAGGGATCATAAGAGAATATTATGAACTGTTGTACCCCCCAAAATTAGATAGACTACATGGAACTGACAAATTTCTAGAAACACATAAACTACCAAAAGTCACTCAAGAAGAAACAGAAAATCTAAATAGATCTATGGTAAGTAATACAAAATCAGCAATCAAAAAACCTCCAACAAGGCCAGGTGCGGTGGCTCATGCCTATAATCCCAGCACTTTGGGAGACTGGATCACTTGAGATCAAGAGTTCAAGACCAGCCTGGCCAACATGGTGAAAACCCATCTCTCCTCAAAATAGAAAAATTAGCTTGGCATGGTGGCACATACCTGTAATCCCAGCTACTCAGGAGACTGAGGCAGGAGAATTACTTGAACCTGGAAGGCAGTGGATGCAATGAGCCAAGATCGTGCCACTGCACTCCAGCCTGGATGACAGAGCAAAACTCCATCTAAAAAAAGAAAAAGCCTCCAACAAATAGCCTAGGACCAGATGGCTTCATGGGCAAATTTTACCAAACATTTAAAGGCTAATTAACACCAATCCTCAAACTCTTCCCAAAAAATACAAGTAAAAAATGCCTCCTACCTCATTCTATGAAGCCAATATTATCCTGATAAGAAAGCCAAAGACATCACAAGAAAGAAAAACTACAGCGTAATACTCCTTTTAAATATAGATGCAAAAATCCTTAACAAAATATTATCAAATAGAATCCAGCAGCATATTAAAAGGGTTATACACCATGATGTATGAACAAGTGAGACTGATCTCAGGAATCCAAGGGTGGTTCAACAGATAAAAATCAATTAATGTAATATATACAATATTAATAGAAGGAAGGAGGGGAAAACCATTTCAATTGACTCAGAAAACACATTTGACAAAATCTCCCATCACTCTTTTATAATAAGAACATTCAGCAAAGTAGGAACATATGGGAGCTTCCTCAATGAGCAATTGTGTAAGATAAAGAAATAAAAGGCAAAATGGGTATGAGTTTTCTTTTTGGGCTGATGAAAATGTTCTAGAATTAACTAGTGATGGTTGCTCAGCATTGTTAATATAATAAAAACCCCTGAACTGTACTCTTTAGAATGGTTAAAAAGGTGAATTTTATGTTACATAAAATGTATCTCAATAAACAAAAGCTTCCAGATAAGCATGCCTTGACATTTCTCAGAAACTCATTCCACTGTTCAACTACCATTCTTATCATGAAACTCTTAGGTCAAACTGAAACCCTGAATGTTACACCTTGAGTCCGTTTCCTTCCTTCTGAAAATGTAGATTCATTTAATCATATATTTTCTATGTATATTTCGTGTGTGTGTGTGTGTGTGTGTGTGTGTGTAATATGTGTGTATATACATATACTAATAGAAAAAGAGAGAGAGACAGACAAAAACAGAGATACAGAGAGAGCAAGTTTGGGTGGCTAACATTTTAAGGTTTATAATTATTTTATCAACTTTTTATTACCACAAACATAATAAATTAGTTAAAAATGGGAGACTGAGCACATGTTCAGTTTCTCTCTTCTTCCCAAAATCCAAGGATGATTTTTTTTTTTTTTCAAAAATGTACAACATGCCTGGAAGACAAAGAAAGAATGGCCTTGGTGGATCAGAAACTAATAGTTCCTAAAAATCCAAAGGCAGACGTGAACAGAATGAGGAACATGCAGGGCATGGCTGCTATAAAAGTGAAAACCGAATTATATCCCCATACAGGATGAATCCCAGAAATTAAAAGATGTATTAATATTAACATTATTCTCATTAAAAATATGAAAAAGGAGCAATGAGCAAGACTCCTGCATATCCCTGCTACTTTTCAACATTGCAAAAAAGGTCCTAAGCAAAGTAATAAAATGAGAAAAAGAAAAAAGATATAAGAATAGGCATAAATGGAAATAAAACTGTCAATATTCCCAGATATGACAGTCTACCTAGAAAATCCAAGAGACTGGCCAGGCACAGTGGCTCACGCCTATAATCCCAGCACTTTGGGAGGCCGAGGTGGGCAGATCATGAGATCAGGAGCTCGAGACCAGCCTCACCAACACGGTGAAACCCTGTCTCTACTAAAAATACAAAAATTAGCTGGGCATGGTGGTAGGCACCCGTAAACCCAGCTACTCAGGAGGCTGAGCCAGGAGAATGGTTTGAATCCAGGAGGCGGAGTTTGTGATGAGCCGAGATCACGCCATTGCACTCCAGTCTAGGCAACAAGAGTGAAACTCTGTCTCGGAAAGGAAAAAGGAAAAAGAAAGGAAAGGAAAGGAAAGAGGAGGAAAGGAAAGGAAAGGAAAAAGGAAAGGAAACGAAGAAAATCCAAGAGAATCAATTGACAAACTATTAAAACCAAGAAGAGAGCTTAATAAATGGTCAGATACATCATACAAAAAACTACAACTTTGTATAGCACCAGCAATAAGCAATCAGAATTATTACATTTTGTATAATTTATTTTTTCAATAAAAAATCTACAGACACAGTTGAAACTCCTTGTGCAGTTCTTCCCCATTCCATTAAACGCGCTCTGTCTACTTGCACAACCACTGTCTTGCATTTGGAGTTTTTTTCTCATGCATGCTTTTTATATGTCACTATATGTGTGTCCTTAAAAATCTATAATAATATATATTGTTTAAAATTATTTCAAAATAAAAGGTAAAAATATATATAATTTTGCAAATTGAAGTTATATACAATTGGTATTAGATTTTATATATAATATATATCTCTCTCATGCTACCTGATTTTACCCTTTAATATCTTTAGAATGTATCCAACTGGTATTTGCACATGTATATGACATTCTTTCTCGTTATCTGGAGTCAATATGAATGTATACTTTTTTTGAATATATTGTTTTCTTCATTTCCAAAAATACATATGTGATAGAAAATACATCTCAAAGGATATATAGGTTAAAGACAAATATCACAATGGAAGTACAAAGCAGTCAGCTTGGAAAAAATTGGAAATAATCTCAATGTCCATCAAAAGGAAGTAGGTTAAATAAAGTATGTTACATCTATAATATAGAAAATAATTTTACAGTATTTAAAAATAATTTAGTGGGTCTATATGTACTGACATGGAAAAATTTTTCAGGACATAAAAGAAAATATAAAACAATATGACTCCTTTCATGTTAAAATTAAAATTGTGTATTTTTCATCACATATATAGAAATTTATTTTAGAAAAACAGAAAACTAATAACATTGGATGCCTTTGAGTAAGTGAATGGGTTTGAGGGAGGTGAAAAAAGATGGTTTTACTTGCCTTTGTTAGATTTTTAAAAATGAGAATCTGTTAAATATTTTTAGTAGAAAAATTGATGATCCATAAATACATAAATAATATACCTCAAAAGAGTAGTCAAGAGTAGAAAAAGAACCAGCCATGTACGGTGGCTCACGCCTGTAATCCCAGCATTTTGGGAGGCAGAGGCGGGTGGATCACTTGAGGTGAGGAGTTCAAGACTAGCCTGGCCAACATGCTGAAGTTTGGTCTCTACTAAAAACACCAAAAAATTATCTGGGCATGGTAGTGCATGCCGTAGTCCCAGCTACTCAGGAGGCCAAGGCATGAGAATTGTTTGAACCCAGGAGCCAGAGGTTGCAGTGAGCCAACATCATGCCACTGCACTGGGTGACAGAGTGAGACTCTGTCTTAAAAAAAAAAAAAAAAAAAAAAAGAAGAGACAAAGAACCAACTCCTAGGGCACACAAAGCAGTAAGAGCTATACTGTATTATACACTTTTAAAATAGTCTTATAATTGATAACCTTATGACCTAAAACTGTCACTGAAGTTTCCTTTTTATCTATGCTTTTCCATAAATTTGTTTAATTGTAATACAGGAAAGAAAGACAAATAGTTGTAATGAACATACTTACTGGCAGATCTGAAAGTTCTGGGTCGGAGAAGACAACCACGAAAATTCAAACGCAGCACATTTAAACGCCACCTTTGCAAAGTAGACACTATATATTTATCTGGAATCACATGTTTCACTGTGGAAAAATCAATCTAAAAAGAATAAACAAAATGCATTAAGAAATGAGAAAGTTCCCAAAAACAATTGCAACAAAAAGAATGATAGACAAATGGGACCTAATTAAACTAAAGAGCTTCTGCACAGCAAAAGAAACTATCGATAGAGCAGACAGACAACCTACAGAATGAGGGAGAATATTTGCAAACTATGCAGCCAACAAAGGCCTAATATCCAGAATCTGTAGGGAACTTAAACAAATCAACAAGCCAAAAACAAATAACCCCATAAAAATAGGTAAAGAACATCAAAAGACACTTCTCAAAAGAAGACATACAAGTGGCCAGGAAACAGATGAGAAAATGCTCCGCATCATTAATTAACATATAAATGCAAACTGACCCACAATGAGGCTGCGCACAGTGGCTCACACCTGCAATCCCAGCACTTTGGGAGGCCGAACAGGTGGATCACTTGAGGCCAGATGTTCAAGACCAGCCTGGCCAACATGGCGAAACCCTGTCTCTATTAGAAATACAAAAATTAGCCAGGCATGGTGGCGCACACCTGTAGTCCCAGCTACTTGGGAGGCTGAGGCACAAGAATCGCTTGAACCTGAGAGGTGGTGGTTGCAGCGAGCTGAGATCAGACCACTGCACTCCAGCCTGGATGACAGAGCAAAGACTGCCACAAAAGAAAAAAAAAAAAAAATCAGAAGGGCTATCATTAAAAAGTCATAAAACAACAGATGCTGGCAAAGCTGTGGAGAAAAGAGAACACTTATACACCATTGGGGGGAATGTAAACTAGTCTACCCACTGTGGAAAGCAGTCTGGAGATTTCTCAAAGAACTTAAAACAGAGCTACCATTCAACCCAGTAATCCCATTATTGGGTATTCAGCCAAAGAAAAATAAATCATGCTACCAAAAAGACACATGCACTCATATGTTCATCTCTGTGTTATTCACAATAGCAAAGATGTGGAATCCCTTTTATTTAATCAATTGTAGATTGAATAAGGAAAAAGTGGTAGATATACACTATATAATACTACATAGCCATAAAAAAGAATGAAATTGTGTCCTTTGCAGCAATACGTAAGGAGCCGGAGGCCACCATCTCAAGCATTGATGCAGGGGCAGAAAACAAAATAATGCATGTTCTTACTTACAAGTGGAAGCTAAATATCGAGCATACATGAACATAAATATGGGAGCATATCTGCATATTTATGTGGACTACCAGAAGATGGGGGTGGTTTAGAAAAACTACCTATTGGGTACTATGCTCACTACCTGGGTGATGGGATATGTACCCCAAATCTTAGCATCACATAATATTCCCAGGTAACGAACCTGAGCATGTACCCCTTATATCTAAACTCAAAGTTGAAATTATTTGAAAAGAAATAAGACCTGTTTCATGTAAAAATTTAAAATATTTTGAAGTAAATCATCACATCACAGGCACCTGCCACCAAGCCTGACTAATTTCTGTATTTTTAGTAGAGATGGGGTTTCACAATGTTGACCAGGCTGGCCTCAAACTCCTGACCTCAAATGATCCGCCTGCTTGAGCCTCCTAAAGTGCTGGGATTACAGGCATGAGCCACTGCACCCAGCCAATTTTGTAATTATAAACAAATCAAATCTTTGCCTTAGCAATTCTACTAGGAATTTATCCTGCAGACATAACTATACATGTATACAACAAAACACTGAGAAACAGGATGTTCACCACAGGATTTTATTAACAGAAGATGGGAAACAACCTAAATGTCTTTTGCTAGAAGACAGATTAAATCAATTGAGGGGCTTCCATACAACAAAACAATGGACAAAAGCTGAATTCAGGGCAAAAAAGCATAACTCGGAAAGAGAAAATCTAAAGTAATAGAGTCAAAGTGTGCTACTCTCTGATTGGCTGTTTCAATTCAGGGACAAAATGCACAGTATCTAGAGGACTTACTGGACCTGAACTCTTTATGAATATTACTCGTTAATGCCAAGCTTTTGTGAGAGTTGGGTTTTAGAGCTCAAGGTTATATCATTGTAAAAGAACCTGAAGAGGAGAAATTCTATGCTGCCAGTTATGGGAAAAGCAAATGGTAGACCTGGCATTCCCTCATAAATCATTGATAACTAAGAACAACCACTTTGTAGTCAGACAGATCCAAATTTGAATCCTATTCTAGCCATTTAACAACGATGGCTATGACTTAACTAAGGTTTAGTTTTCCTCATCTGTAAAATGGGAAAAATAACAGTGCCTAACTTAGGACGCTGCAGAGACAAACTGAGAAAATGCAAACTGAGATGCTACAGATGCAGTGTAGCATCTGACATACAGGAAGCATTCAATAAATATTAGCTACTATTATTACTTCAAAAAGACATGACAAAGCACAAAAAATATGGCATACAGAAATTTTAAAAAGCATGAATAGAACTAAAATACATAACACATAAAGCATATTGACATTTTTAATGTGTCTTCATGCATGCAGAAACACAGTCACTCTGGCATTTTCTAATATGAACTCCTAGGCTGGCACTTATATACTATTCTTGCAACAGTATTTTTTTTTTTTTCTGGAGACAGAGTTTTGTCTTATTGCCCAGGCTGGAGTGCAATGGTGCAATCTCAGCTCCACAACCTCTGCCTCCTGGGTTCAAGCGATTCTCCTGCCTCAGCCTCCCAAGTAGCTGGCATTACAGGCACATACCACCACGCCCAGCTAATTTTGTATTTTTCATAGAGACAGGGTTTTTCCATGTTGATCAGTCTGGTCTTGAACTCCCAACCTCAGGTGATCCGCCTGCCTTGGCCTCTCAAAGTGCTGGGATTACAGGCATGAGCCACCGTGCCCGGCTGCCACAGTACTATTTTTTAACCTGAAACATGTTTGTGTTTCTCATTCCAAAGAGACATTGGGTAGAGGACTCAGCCAACAATAAAAAATAAGCAAATAAGCATATGTCCCAACAACTTTTCTTATCTATTTCTTGCAAGATACTTTAATCTCAACAAACATGGTCATTTACGCCATCAACCAATGTTTAGTGACAACATTTTCTCTGTTGTCTAAAGTCCAGTCAATAGCTAACTTCATGATCCCTCCTTATTACTAATGATTTAAGGACTGATGATATCATATGCTCAGACTGACCTATGAATAGGGGGCCTGGAGCCATTTTGTAGAAGCTCTAAAACTTACTCAAAGAAACTAAAAGGACTTGAGAAGGCGTCAGGGGCTCTAGCTTCATAAGTTAACTCAACATCTTTACATCGCATCAGGACACCATCTCATTCTTGGCTGCACTGTTCTACTCCCACTCTATGCAACAATGGCAAGAAGAGAATTGATTTCATATTACCAAACCTACCTTAGCTAACAAATTAGGTGTTCCTGTATTAATTTTATTTTTAGTTTAAGGCGGTAATTCTCAAACTTCACCCTGTAACAGAATCATCTAGCGGGGTTGTTAAAACAGATTACTGTCTGCAGCCCTCAGAGTTTCTGACTCAGTAGGTCTGGGATGGGGCCTAGGAATTTGCACTTCCAGCAAGTTCTTGGGTGATGCTGATACCACTGGTCCCAGGACCACACTTTGAGAACTGCTGGCTTAAAGTAATAAATCTCTAAATTATGTTATAGATATTTGGGGATGTTGCTTTTTCCTTTGGAAAACCTAGAAAGAAAGAAAAAATGAATCTAAATGGTCTAGAGGAGAAAGAATATATATAACATTTAGATCAGGACATGTCTTGCAGAAGCTGGCAGGAGTCAGAAAAAGCCAACACTCCTGTCCAGAGACCTTAATGGGTAAAGACGGAGAATATTCGATTTTTATGGCTATATAGTATTCCATGGTATATATGTGCCACATTTTCCATGTCCAGTCTATCATCAATTGGCATTTGGGTTGGTTCCAAGTCTTTGCTATTGTAAGCAGTGCCACCATGAACATTCATGTGCATGTGTCCTTATAATAGAGCGATTTATAATCCTTTGACTATATACCCAGAAATGGGATTGCTGGGTCAAATGGCATTCCTAAAAAACAATGAGTTCATATCCTTTGTAGGGACATGGATGAACCTGGAAACCATCATTCTCAGCAAACTGACACAAGAACAGAAAATCAAATACCGCATGTTCTCGCTCATAGGTGGGTGTTGAACAATGAGAACACATGGACACAGGGAGGGGAGCATCACACAATGGGGTCTGTGGGGGGGAACTAGGGGAGGGACAGCACGGGGTGGGGAGTTGCGGAAGGATAACTGGGGAGAAATGCCAGATATAGGTGATGGGGAGGAAGGCAGCAAACCACACTGCCATGTATGTACCTATGCAACAATCTTGCATGTTCTTCACATGTACCCCAAGACCTAAAATGCAATATTATATATATATATATATATATATATATATATATATATATAAAGACGGAGAATATTATAAGCACATGGCAATAAGGAACAAAGCCAGGGTAGGAAGCTAAGCTGTTTTATGTTCAGCAAATTTCTCTTTCCACAACTGTATATTGCTCCTTCCTCTTATTTCTGCTTTTATTTGTGAGAGTTCAAATGTGGCACAATTATAACAAGCATTTTTAGCACAAACAATAGCTTTATTCAAAAGGTAATGAGAAACTGCCTGTTCACAGGCAACTGGATGTTCGAAAACTTAAACTTCTGGCTAACAACATTAGCAATATTAAGATATCAATGTTATTGTTTATCAATCAGCCCTGACCACTCCAAAAACCTCTGCTCTTGCCAATTTTTATACCATCAACCAGGTACACTAAGTTCATCCTTATAATCCTCTCTTTTTAATGGAACTAACCCTTCCAAAAATTATGAGTTATGTAAAGGCCATTGCACACCTCATACTCTAAACATCTTTCCCATAGTCATGGACTCAATACATAGTCTGCGCTCATGAAAAGGAAGCAGGCATACAATAAATAATAAAACCAGAATGGGGTACAAACTATCCAATAAAATGGAGCTTTGTTTCAATCCAAAAATGACATTCATTTATATCTACCATTTACATTTTAAAATACTAATGATGTATCTCTTAAAATAGCATTATTATCTTTTTTATCTCTTCTCCCAGGCTTGTGCCTGGACAAAAGAAACCAAATTCACTTGCTGCTAGTGACCACAGAGCAGGGAAGAAGGTATACCCACAACAGTTGCTTTACAACAGTCCACTCTCCTTTAAGAACTAGTGTAAAGACAGTTCAGTTAGTATCTACTTACAGCATTCCACAGTGAGCTTAGCTGTGTCATCAACATCCAGGCACGATTAACTTGACCACATATTATAACATCTTTTAAACTGAGGTAGAAGAAAATCTAAACACAAAGAAAAATACATAATTTTGAAAAAATATGTGAACTTTGATGTAACTTGTCCACTTACCTTCTGTGTGTGTTGAGTGCATACATGTATTAGCAATGGTAACATAATCCATCCATACTTTGCTAATAGCAAGAGTTTAGGTGCCAGAATTTCACCTGAAGGCAGGAATTTTATCTAAAGTACAGGAACTTATCTGCTGACTCGTTTTACATAACGTAATCCTTTTAATTGATAGTTGCAGAAGGATGGTAAGAAAGATAAACATGTTTGTTTTATTTTTTGAAGGAAGCTAGAATTCTGCTATAAAACTAACGATTTCCATAAGTAGTCATTGGTACATAGAAGGCAATCAATATTGTCTGCTGAACTGAACTGCATTCCTTCTAAAGATATAGGATTCCTCGAAGAAGGAAAAAAAAAGGATTTCTGGAAAGAGCAATAAACACATTTTGGCTTCTACTTCTGGAAATGTGGTAGACCAAAAAAGCAGGAAATCCTTCCAGTACAAAACATCAGTAAATGCTCAAAGAAACATTTATTTAAAAAAAACAAAAAACAAAAAACATAATCCAGTTGTCAAGAAAGTAAAACAAACATGCAAAGATCCAGTTCTTGTAAACCCAGACTGACAATAAGGTGCTTCATGCTATAGTTGCTTGGGAGGGAAGAACAGTAAAGATGGTTGCTGTCTTTCATAATAAAATGGATGCAGATTTTACTGGACATGCAGACATAAGAAAGTCACCAGGCCTATACAGAGATGGTATAGTCATGCTCTGCATAATGACGTTTCAGTCAATGATGGGCTGCATGTATGACAGTGGCCCCATAAGATCATAGTGGTGCTGAAAATTCTCTATTGTCTAGTGACATCATAGCCATTTTAACATCATAGCATAACTAATTAATTTTTAAATAAATTTAGTGTAACCTAAGTGTACATTGTTTATAAAGTATAATATACTCTATCTGTAGTAGTGTACAATAATATCCTAGGCCTTCACATTCACTCATCACTCACTGACTGACTCAATCAGAGTAACTTCTAGTCCTCCACTGATAAGTGCCCTATATAAGTGTACCAATTTTAATGTTTTATACCATATTTTTACTGTATATTTTCTATGTTTAGATACATAAATACTTACCATTGTGTTACATTGCCTACAATATTTAGTACAATAACATGCTATACAGTCCTGCAGTCTAGGAGCAATAGGCTATACCACACAGCCCAGGTATATACTATATTATACCATTTAGGTTTTGTAGCATGCTCTATGATGTTGACACAATGACAAAATCACCCTAAGACACACTTCTCAAAAGGTATTCCCACCAGTAAGCAATGCATGACTGTAATTGTAACTGAGTCGGAAAAAAAGAGAGAGACAGAAATCCAGGATTATGAAACAGAAATCTGGCCAGGCGCAGTGGCTCACGCCTATAATCTCAGCACTTTGGGAGGCTGAGGTGGGCAGATCAGAAGGTCAGGAGTTTGAGACCAGTTTGACCAACATGGTGAAACCCCATCTCTACTAAAAATACAAAAATTATCTGGGCATGGTGGCGTGCGCCACCATGGTGGCATGGGTGGTTCCCAGCTACTCAGGAGGCTGAGACAGGAGAATCGCTTGAACCCAAGAAGCAGAGGTTGCAGTGAGCTGAGATCGCACCACTGCACTCCAGCCTGGGACACACAGAGACTCTGTCGACAGAGAAAGAGAGAGGGGGA